CGGGCGGCGGGCAGGCGGGAGGGCGAGCTGGGCGTCCGCAAGGGCGAGACGGTGGCAGTGGGTCGCTCCGGGGCCGGCACCGGGGGGTGGGCTGCAGGGGGAGGAGAGAGGAGAGTTATGGTCCCCAGGCACTGCCAGACCTGGCCCTGGCTGAGAGCTAAGCCTTAACCCAGGGTATCTCAGTCTTTTGGTCTAAATCCTAGGAATCCCTCTCCTGGCTGTGAAAGACCTGTCTGAAGGTGGTCGTGCCTAGTGATATGACTAGGGAACAGCCCGGCCATCCCTACCCGTCCTTGGGAATCAATGAGAAGCCTATCGAGCTGTTTTCCAAACTTCCAGAAGGTCCTCCTACTTGGATAGGTTTTGGAGCAATGCAACGTGGAACCTGAAGGATTAGCCCAGATGACCCACACCGACCTCACAGACTGCAGTTACAAAGGAAGGCCTCTTTCTTCATCCCCAACAAAGTGATCAACAGCACATCACTGTGCTGCACAAGATAAATTAAGCAGAAATCCACCAGAGGATTTCTGAGCTCAGCTTCATCTCTGCCAGCAAAGTCCCTAAGGGACTAGGCAGTGCATTCTGGTCTTGCCTCTCCTGCCTACAAGCACTAGGAACCAGAAATTAGCAGTCATTTGTTTAACGATGAGCACAACACACTGCCAAGGTCAGCTCTCCAGGGATCCAGGAGCTTGTTGCATGCTTCATGTTGCAAAACGTGTGACAAAGCTCCGGGTCCATTTCCACAAAAATGTGGCCTTTGACTTCCAGGTTGGCTGATTGCTTAGGCATAACCTGCATACAACTTCACGTTAAGTATGTACAGGCCAGAAGCCATGTTCACACTTAGATATTCCCTCCCCTAAATGATTCAATGATAGGACTGGCTGGAAAATGCCCATTTCACAAATGATTTCAAAGTTTCATTATCTGGTTTAGTTCTACCCCAGTGCAAAATTTGAAGTTTTGAACATTTTTCTGAGAACAACCTACTTGTCCATCTTACAACAGTCTCTATTCTGGCTGGGGGATTCACCTGGAATGTGAAAACATAGGGTCTGGTCACCACACTGTCATCCTCTGTAGAGAATGGCTCTGGGCAGCTTTTCCCTTTGCAGCTTGAGCCAGGACAACTTCATGGCTGAAGTCTGGTTGAACTACATCCGTTCATGCCAAAAGTTTTGAGTAAAAAAACCCATATTTTATTTGACCAAGAAGCATTTTTCTGGAAAATTTCTGACCCACTCAGATCTGTGGTTTCCTTAAAAATTCATCTGAATCATACATTTTTATGCAGGCTCAGCTGGAAATCATTAAATGTATAACCAAACAACAATGCTAGAACAACTCAAAACACTATTTTCTGTTTCTATGGTTAACATTGGAACCCATTACCAGGGATTGAAGTGATAAGAAGTGCCATTAATCATACTCACTACACCAGCTGAGCACTCCTGCCAGGAGGGAATTTCTTCCCCCAACCTTATGCCCTACTATCTGAAGCAATACTGAACATGATGGGTCAGCGATCATCAGATTAGCACCTCCAAAGATTACATGATTCTCCCTCACAGTAACTCCTTTAATCACATCTCTTTTTATCAATGTTGCTCATAACAAATCAAACAGTCATCAACCAGTCTTGAACCTGATGTGATTTTACCATGTAGCATGAGGAAGGGCCTAAAAGTTGTGATTAAAAACTTCTTAAAGACTATTCTTATTATTAGTTACCATTTCCTCCTCTAAGATTACCAAGAACATACACTGGAAAGTGCACTTCTTATGCAAAGAGCCAGACAGGGCACCACTTGTTATCTTGAACTGATTCCCTCATTCTGATTTTCCCATTTGGAACCTGTGTGATAAGCAAGCACTGCTGCCAGAAATCTCATTTTCTGGGATGGTTGCACTTGTAGGGTCAAGGTTTTGAACTATTTGTTGTAGGGACCAATGGCTTTTGTAATTAGGAAAAGTATATTAATGGAATTTCACTGCATGTACCTGGATGCAGAAGACTGATTTGATAATTGTATTAGATATGTTACTTCTTTAATACAGAACAGGATGTTTCCAGACACAAAGGAAAGAGAAAACATGAGAAACAGTAAAAGAAATGGCCTGAGAAAAATAAACTCTGAGCAGAGCTCTTACTTTGTTCTGTAATTTCATCTGCTTACTGTTACAATATATGCCTTTGCTCTGGGATCTCTGGATCTGGACCATGCTGCATCAAACATGCTATTAATTAGCAATGCTCACTGAAGGCTATTTTTGTTCTACACCACTCATATTTCATTTTGGGTGTATTCCTACATTAGTGGCCTGGTCCAAAATTGATTTGTTACTCATGTATATTGCAAGCCAACAGAAACATGATTTGAATACTGTGCCAGCTTGCCTCTCTTGGAAAGCTTTTCCAAAAGTCAGTGTGCATTGTCCTGTCCTGCAGGACTAAAGAGACCTCTTGAGGGGCTCTGGTCCACAGAATACTGGTGAGGACAAGCCATTATGAAGAAACTGATAACCATGAAAAAAATTCCTTTATTTATCCTGGCAATGATTTATTTGATTGAAATAATAATCTCATGAACCTTTCAGC